TGATAGGAGACAACAAAGCCAATTGGTATGTTTGTCCCCTTGAACACTCAATAAAAGGGTGTATATATTTCTATGATCATCTTATGACCTATACACATATTATGCCCCTATTAGTATCAAATAAGGGGATATGCAAGTCATCTAATTTCTACCAATTTACACATACCATTTGTCTATATTGATGCTGTTCTCTTGTATTTTCAGTTCTTCATTATTTATCATTAGACATAGATAGATAGATATATATATATATATATATATCTATCTATCTTAATTAAGGCAGTGCTTGTGATGTGGCACCTATGGTCCTTGCACGCCAAAATGATGGCCCCATTTTTGGAGGGGAATCATCTCCTGACATAGTGAAACTCCTCTTCAATATCTGTGGTGGTTATGTAAGTTGTTTACCTCATACGGTTTGGTTCAGTGCTAAACAGTTATGAAAATGCTTGTTAAAATTGACTATCAATAATTATTATTATAGAATGGTATCATATCCCTGAAGTAGAAGAATCTATGTTAATGCATTCGAAACGTGTGTTGGATCCTAGGCTAAATGTATCCGCAGTCAAACTTTTTAAATTGTTGTGCAATATACAGTTAGGTCCATATATATTTGGACACAGGCACAATTTTCATACTTTTGACTCTGTGTGCCACCAGAAAAAATTAAAACGAAACAACCCAAATGAATTTGAAGTGCAGACTTTCAGCTTTAATTCAAGGGGTTGAAAATAAATATGTACAAATTTTAGGAACTGCAACCATTTTTATACACAGTCCTTCCATTTTCAGGGGCTCAAACATAATTGGACAAAAATAGAATCATAAATAAAATGTTCATTTTTAATATTTTGTTGAGAATCATTTACTGGCAATGACTGCCTGAAGTCTGGAACCCATGGACATCACCAAAGACTGAGTTTCCTGCTTTCTGATGCTTTGCCAGGCTCTAACTGCAGCTGTCTTCCGTTGTTCTTTGTTTGTGGGTCTTTCTGCCTTTAGTTTTGCCTTCAGCAAGAGAAATGCATGCTTAATTGGGTTGAGATCAGGTGATTGCCATTATAGAATATTCCACTTTTCCTTCAAAACCTTCTGGGTTGCTTTTGCAGTGTGTTTTGGATCATAGTCCATCTGCACTGTGAAGCGCTGTCCAATTAACTTTGCTGCATTTGGTTGAATCTGGGCTGACAATATATCTCTAAACAGTGCAGAATTCATCTGGCTGCTTCTGTCACATCATCAATAAACACCAATGACCCAGTGCCACTAGAAGTAATGCCATCACACTGCCTCCACCATGTTTTACAGATGACGTTGTGTACTTTGGATCATGAGCTGTTCCAAGCCTTCTCCACACTTTTTTTTCTTCCAGTTATTCTGGTACAGATTAATCTTAGTTTCATTCATCCAAAGAATGCTTTTCCCGAACTGGTCAGCCTTTTTTTTTTTTTTTTGTGGCAAAGTCTGATCTGGCTTTTCTATTCTCCAGGCTTATGAATGGTTTGAACCTTGTGGTGAAACCTCTGTATTTGCTCTCATGAAGTCTTCTCTTGATTGTAGACTTTAACAATGATAGGACCATCTCCTGGAGAGTGTCCTTCACTTGTATGGACCTTGTGAATGGGTTTTTATTTACCATAGAAAGGATCCTGCAATCATCCACTATTGCTGTCTTCTGTGGACTTCCATGCCTTTTTATGTTGCTGAGCTCACCAGTGTGTTCTTCTTTCCTCAGAATGTACCAAACTGTTGATTTGGACACTCCTAATGTTGCTACTATCTCTCTGATGGATTTGATTTGTTTTTGAAGCCTTACAATGGCCTGTTTCACTTGCATGGATAGGAGGTGTCAATCCTCTGCATTGTGTAAAAACGATGTTTGATACTCTCTTCTCTGATCCTCCCCTTCTTTTACTGTCTCTATTATAACTCCTGATAGAGCAGAGCCTTGGAGGCAAGCTGCACATACTCAGTTTGGTGTGTATTGCTAGAGTTTTTTTTTTTTTTGGGAGAGCACGTGATCAGCACAGAGCCAATCAGCACTGTCCAGACAGAGGGTCAGGGGTCCTGCAACCTCAGAGGAGAATGAAAACTCCTCCTCCAAGCTTCAACCAGTGCTCTGCTGGACACTGATAGAGGTCACAAGACTGCTTTGACTGCTGATGAGAAAAGGTATTTAGCAGTTTATATTTACTAAAATAATTGTACTTCCATGTTCTATGCACTGTGGGAGACTAGATATAGTGAATGCAGAGTTCTGGATTTAGTAATACTTTAAGGCCTCAGTAACTCACTACTCCGGGTACTGATGAAGCTCGAGTGGCTGCAGGTGACTGACTGGGTCACTGCAGGAGGGCAGTGAAAATGGACTGGAGAACTACGAGGTGACTTCAAGCAGGAGAAGCAGCAGGATACGGTTTCCCTTATACGGAATGGTAGGAAAAAGAATGCAGGGAGACACTCCACCATGCAGATGAAGGTAGCGCTCAGTGCCTCAGTTTTAGCCCTTACCACAGTTAAACAAATGGTGGCAGGAAATCTTTAAGGCTCCCAACAGTTCGGATAGTGAGGTAGCTCCAGTTGCTGCAGCCCAACTGGCCTAACTCAGGAAGAGTCTTCAGAGTCAGGGTCACACTCGAAAGGCTGTGTTATGGCTCTGAACCTGGAAAGCACTCATGGGTAATCTTTTACAAGTACTCTCAGGTATGGAAATTACAACAACGTCTGAAGGTCACATTCCAGGCTACTCCAAAACACAAAGTTCAAATTCACAATTGCGCGGAAGTGGGAGCGGGTACCTGTCAAACTCGGGTACCTGCTCAACCCCCACCCCCCCAAAAGTCCCCCCGCTCCACAAAGGTCCGCAGTCTCTGGAAATCTCCTGTGCTGTGTCCGCAGTCTCTGGTCATCTCCTGTGCTGTGTCCGCAGTCTCTGGTCATCTCCTGTGCTGTGTCCGCAGTCTCTGGTCATCTCCTGTGCTGTGTCCGCAGTCTCTGGTCATCTCCTGTGCTGTGTCCGCAGTCTCTGGTCATCTCCTGTGCTGTGTCCGCAGTCTCTGGTCATCTCCTGTGCTGTGTCCGCAGTCTCTGGTCATCTCCTGTGCTGTGTCCGCAGTCTCTGGTCATCTCCTGTGCTGTGTCCGCAGTCTCTTGGTCATCTCCTGTGCTGTGTCCGCAGTCTCTGGTCATCTCCTGTGCTGTGTCCGCAGTCTCTGGTCATCTCCTGTGCTGTGTCCGCAGTCTCTGGTCATCTCCTGTGCTGTGTCCGCAGTCTCTGGTCATCTCCTGTGCTGTGTCCGCAGTCTCTGGTCATCTCCTGTGCTGTGTCCGCAGTCTCTGGTCATCTCCTGTGCTGTGTCCGCAGTCTCTGGTCATCTCCTGTGCTGTGTCCGCAGTCTCTGGTCATCTCCTGTGCTGTGTCCGCAGTCTCTGGTCATCTCCTGTGCTGTGTCCGCAGTCTCTGGTCTCCTGTATTGCTGTGTCCGCAGTCTCTGGTCATCTCCTGTGCTGTGTCCGCAGTCTCTGGTCATCTCCTGTGCTGTGTCCGCAGTCTCTGCTGTGGTCAGTCTCTGGTCATCTCCTGTGCTGTGTCCGCAGTCATCTCTGCTGGGCATCATCCTGTGCTGTGTCCCGCAGTCTCTGGTCATCTCCTGTGCTGTGTCCGCAGTCTCTGGTCATCTCCTGTGCTGTGTCCGCAGTCTCTGGTCATCTCCTGTGCTGTGTCCGCAGTCTCTGGTCATCTCCTGTGCTGTGTCCGCAGTCTCTGTCATCTCCTGTGCTGTGTCCGCAGTCTCTGGTCATCTCCTGTGCTGTGTCCGCAGTCTCTGGTCATCTCCTGTGCTGTGTCCGCAGTCTCTGGTCATCTCCTGTGCTGTGTCCAGCTCTGGTCATCTCCTGTGCTGTGTCCGCAGTCTCTGGTCTTCTCCTGTGCTGTGTCCGCAGTCTCTGGTCATCTCCTGTGCTGTGTCCGCAGTCTCTGGTCATCTCCTGTGCTGTGTCCGCAGTCTCTGGTCATCTCCTGTGCTGTGTCCGCAGTCTCTGGTCATCTCCTGTGCTGTGTCCGCAGTCTCTGGTCATCTCCTGTGCTGTGTCCGCAGTCTCTGGTCATCTCCTGTGCTGTGTCCGCAGTCTCTGGTCATCTCCTGTGCTGTGTCCGCAGTCTCTGGTCATCTCCTGTGCTGTGTCCGCAGTCTCTGGTCATCTCCTGTGCTGTGTCCGCAGTCTCTGGTCATCTCCTGTGCTGTGTCCGCAGTCTCTGGTCATCTCCTGTACTGTGTCCGCAGTCTCTGGTCATCTCCTGTACTGTGTCCGCAGTCTCTGGTCATCTCCTGTACTGTGTCCGCAGTCTCTGGTCATCTCCTGTACTGTGTCTGCAGTCTCTGGTCATCTCCTGTACGGTGTCTGCAGTCTCTGGTCATCTCCTGTACTGTGTCTGCAGTCTCTGGCATCTCTCTGGTCATCTCCTGTACTGTGTCTGCAGTCTCTGGTCATCTCCTGTACTGTGTCTGCAGTCTCTGGTCATCTCCTGTACTGTGTCTGCAGTCTCTGGTCATCTCCTGTACTGTGTCTGGGAGCTGTGGTGTGTGTGTGTAGATACATACATACACACACACACACACACATATATATATATATATATATATATATATACACACACACACACACACACACATCTTTTATCACCTCTGCAAGCCACATGAATTAAAATTGCAAGGAAAGTTTCATACCAAGTAACTGAACACATCTAACATTTATTACAGGAATGAATCCAAATATAGAATAAGAATGTGCTATTGTTTGAGATTGCCATGCTTCACAGAATGTACTAAATCTCTATGCTATGAAGTGAAATATGTACTGTATTCTCTAATCAGTCTGTGCTCGCTCTGTGAGGCAGCTTTGTAACGCCGAGATCCAGATTTCATGTTGCAGCATTTTGTTACAGTTCAACAAGTAAGCTAAGTAGTTTGTGATTTACATTTCAAGATTCTACATACGCTTCATTCAGTGGAACAAAAATGAAGTCTTTCTGAAAGAGGTCCACATGCCGAGTCCAGGTTTTAACTCTTCCATGCCTCCTTTGCTGCAGTCTGTGGAAGGGAAATAAAGTTACTTAAACTTCGCTATTTTTTTCCTGACCTACAATTGACAGAATACATTTAGCCAATTTATTCCAGCAACTCCTGAAACAGAAAGTTATGACATCAAGGGGGAAAAACATAATGATATCCAAGCAATAACAATGCAACCAACAATGCAATTAACAATGCAACCATCTCAAGAAGCTCCCCTTTTTTTACCTGTAGTTCTTGGCATTCAAAATTATAATTTTTTTTTGTTAAAGTTTATTCACTTGAACACTGTGCTGTACTGACCAACAGGGCTCGCAACCACCATACCCATTACTAATCAAGCAGGTTTTAGGGCTACAACCCTGCTTAAAACTGCTAGGTTTCATATGGTGTGCTTCAACCTAACTTGGAAAACACATTTGCTTTAAAAGTGCCTTTACTCAAAAGTTGCATACGTGGCCTAATATGGCGTGATTCAACCTAACATTGAAAGAGTAATGACTTTTCGGTAACTTGGTTTCCAGTAGTCTTCCAGGACAGCCTTTAAGATAAAGCTCCTCCCTTCAATCAGGAAACACATGTCCACTTGCATCTTTTAAGAAAGTCCCTCAGGCCCATGCCTAGTTACCCATGAGAACTGAAGGACAGATCTGAAAGACATACCAAACAACAAAAAACATCCAACAATATAGATCCTAGGGTGAAAACATGCTGTTCTGGAAGACTACTGGAAACTGAGTTACCAGTAAGTCTAACTCTGTTTTTTTTCCCAGGGGAGCCTTTGGGAGGATAAACAAGTACTTACCAGAGTAGGGGGGGCCACTGCTTGGAGGACTTTCCTCTCAAACACTTGGTCTTGGCTAGAGATTTGTCCAGCATTATCGTCTGGACCTAAGGTAGAGAACCTTGACCGGGTTGCTGTCTTGCAAATTTGCTCCGGGGTAGTGCCCTCTTTTTCTGCCCACGTAGCTGCCGAAGCGCTAGTAGAGTGTGATTTTAGAACCTGTGGTGGAGGAAGTTGCATGACTCCATAGCATTCTACAATGGCTAGCTTGATTCACCTTGCTAAATGTTCTTGGATGCTTGTTTCCCTTTCGGTTTTCCTACATAGAGAACAAACAAGGCCTCCAAAGATCTAAACTGGCTTGTAACCTCCAGATATCTCAACAAACACCTCCTAACATCCAGGAGGCTCAGATCTTACAGTTGGAAGGTGTGGTTTAAAAGGATTGCAACACTATGTCTTGAGATTTGTGAAAGGACGAAGCAACTTTCAGTACGAAGCCTGGGCCTGTCTGTAAAATTACTCTGTCACCCATAATCTTTAGGAAATGCTCTGACGGATAGAGCCTGAATCTCACTTATTCTGCAGGCCATGGAATTATCCACCAGGAAGACCATCTTCAAAGTCAGCAAGCGTAGTGAGTTCTCTTGCATTGGCTCAAACGGAGATTTGATGCCCCTTAGCACAATTGATAAGTCCCAACTAGGATATTTCCAAGATTTAGGTTTGTTCTTACTCACCGCTCTGCAAAACCTCGAAATTAGAGAGTCCTTTTGCAAAGAGCGCTCCAGATACACCAACAGGGCTGCCATTTGTACCGCCAGGGTACTCAAAGCAAGCCCTCTCTTTACACCTTGCTGTAAGAATTTCAAAATAGTTGTCACCATTTTTAATCTATCATTTTCCCAGCACCAGAAATTGAACGTTTTCCATATCTTCTTGTAAATGGCTCTAGTGTTCGGCTTCCTGGCACTCAGTAATGTGGCTACAATTTTATCCGAGAGCCCTTTTGATTTCAGAATCTCTTCTTCAGAAGACAAGCTGTCCAACTGAAATTTCCTGGCTTGGAGGTAGTGAAAAGGCCCTTGCCGCAGCAGATCCTCTCTGAGAGAAAGTGACCAAGGCTGTTCTGCTGAAAGGGAAAGGAGTTGTGAAAACCAAACCCTTTTGAGCCAAAATGGTTGATCATTCCCCAACGCTGTGAAATCTCAGCGAACACTTCCGGGTGCAGCTCCCATTCTTCCTGCGACAATTCCTGACAACTGAGGAAATCCGCCACTTGGTTGTGATCCCCTTTGAGGTGAACCGCTGATGGGGAAAAAAAAAAGATTCTTCTCCGCCTACAAGCAGATCTGATCTGAAATCCCGTTTATATACAGTGGGGAAAATAATTATTTGATCCCCTACAGATTTTGTAAATTTGCCCACTTGCAAAGAAATGAAGGGTCTATAATTTATCATATATGTATTTTAAATGATAGAGCCAGAATATAAACCAAAAATCCAGAAAAAACACAAAACAAATTGAGCAGCAGTTCAGGGAGTAAAATAAGTATTTGATCCCCAAGCAAAACATAACTTAGTTCTTGGTGGTGCAGAAACCCTTGTTGGCAAGCACAGAGGTAAGACGTTTCTTGTAGATGGTTACCAGGTTTGCACACATCTCAGGAGGGATTTTGGTCCACTCTGTACAGATCTTCTCTAAATCCTTAATGTTTCTTGGCTGTTGCTTGGCAACTCGAAGTTTCAGCTCCCTCCATAAATTGTCTATAGTATTAAGGTTTGGAGACTGGCTAGGCCACTCCATGGCCTTAACGTGCTTCTTTATGAGCCACTCCTTTGTTGTCTTGGCAGTATGTTTTGAGTCATTGTAATGCTGACCTATCCACTACCCAGCTTCAGTGTTCTGGCTGAGGGAAGATTTTAGAAAACATGGCCCTGTCCATTGGACCCTCAGTGAGACAAAGTCAGCCTGAACCTTTAGCAGAGAAACAGCCCCAAAGCATAATGTTTCCACCTCCGTGCTTGACTGGAGGGAATATTGTTCTTAGGGTCATAGTCAGCGTTTTTCTTCCTCCAAACATGGCGAGTCAAGTAATTGCCAAAGCGCTCAAATTTTGGTCTCATCTGACTAGAGCACTTTCTCCTAATCCTCTTCTGAATCATTTAGATGTTCATTGGCAAACTTCAGATAGGCTTGTACATTTGCCTTCTTGAGGAGGGGGACCTGAAGGATTTCAGTCCATGGCGGCATATTGTGTTACCAATGGTTTGTTTGGCGACTGTGGTTCTAACTGCCCTGAGATTGTTCACAAGCTCCTCCCATGTACGTAGTTCTGGGCTGATCCCTCGCTTTTCTTAAGATCATCCTTACCTCACGAGGCAAAATCTTGCATGGAGCTCCAGACCAAGGGAGACTGATGGTTATTGTGTATTTCTTCCATTTGCAAATAATCGTTCCAACAGTTTTCTCCTTCTCACCAAGCTTCTTGCTGATGGTCTTATAGCCCATTCCAATCTTGTGCAGGTCTACAATCTTGTCCCTGACATTCTTTGATAGCTCTTTGGTCTTGTCCATGGTGATGCCCAAGAAAGAGATTCTGTGGACAGGTGTCTTTTATACACATAATGAGTTGCTGTTAGAAGCACCTTTTTAAATTGACAGGACTAATCTGTGTACCACATGAGCACATAACCAGTCTGTGGGAGTCAGAATTATTATTGGTTGGCAGGGGATCAAATATTTATTTTACTCACTTAACTGCAACTCAATTTATAATATTTGTATCGTGTTTTTTTCTGTATTTTTGGTTGATGTTCTATCATTTAAAACACACCTATGATAAAAAGTATAGACCCTTCATTTCTTTGTAAGTGGTCAAACTTACAAAATCTGCAGGGGATCAAATAATTATTTCCCCCACTGTATGCTACTGCGGTTGAATTGTCGGATAGGATCGTAACATGATGGCCCTCACCTGGTCCTGAAAATAGGAAATTTTCTCTTGCTACGGTCTTAAGTTCATAACAATTTGAAGAGGCCTGGGCTTCTTCTGGGGTCCATTTTCCTTGGGCTGGCCACCCGTCCAGATGGGCTCCCTAGCCCCATCTGCTTGCATCAGTCATCAGCTTCTGTGAAAATCGAGAACGACCAGAGTAAACATTGACTTAAATGTGTGTGGTCTCTCCAGCACCACAATGTCCACTTCACTGCTGTTGGATGACAAATCTTTCTGTCCAGGTCCAACTGTCCCTGTACTTGCAGAATAAAGGCTTGCAAGGATCTTAGATAGAGTCTGGTCCACTGAACGGCCGGAACTGCCAATGCCCAGTACAGACACGAGTTCTTGGACTGATACTGGCTGACCGTTTTGTAGAGCCCCCACTCTCCTGATTAGATCTGGATCTTCTCTTCTGGAAGCACCGTCTTTTGGTCTACCGACCTGAGATAGTACCCTAGAAAGAGGATATTCTGCATGGGACAGAAATTTGACATGTCCAGATTGAGAATCCACCCAAGGGACCTCAGCCACTGTTGAGCTTGAGTAAGATTTTCCGTGGTGGGCCACAAACAGGAGGTCATCCAGATAAGGTGCTACTATCATGGACTTTAACCTTAAGGGTGCGAGAGCCTCTGCCAGAACCTTTATAATATATCCTTGGTGAAGTGGAAAGGCCAAAAGGGGAGAGCCCTGCTTTTGAAGTGACATTCCTTTCCATTTATCTCCAGCGCCAGCTTAGGAATTTATGGGAGTCCTCACAAATGGGGCCATTGAGGTAGGCATCCCTCAAGTCCATGGGTGTCATGAACACATTTGATTGAAGAATGTTTTTTACTGAACAAATTGACTCCATACAGAACCTTTTGTAGTGAATTTTCTTGTTCAAGGGTTTGAGACTTAGAATTAACCAAAACTTTGACAGCTTCTTGCCTGCAAATACATGGGAATAAAACCCTCTACCTGAACTGGGATGAGCCCTCCTTGTGCTACCATTTCCCCCAGGAGAAGAGGAAGTGCTTGAGCCTTTCTGGAGGGACTGTGTTTAACTCCAGAGCATAACCCTTGGCAACGATGTTGAGAACGTACTCATTGGCTGTAATCCTTTGCCGTTGAGGAAGGAAGGTAGCCAGTCTTCCTCCTACTGGTGTCTTGTAGTCATTCATTGCTGTTTGGGGTTTCGCCAGAAGAGCCAAACAGGACGTTACTCTTTACCTTCCAGTTGTGTCCGGTCAAGTACTTTTTGGTCTGATCCTTCTTTTCTTCTTGCTGGTGGTCCTTTTGACCCCGAAAAAAACTTTTGCAAAAGGCTTTTGTCTCTCAGCAGGAAACAACATCTTCCTGTCAGCAATTCTCTCTCCAAGACTGCGTCCAGCCCTGGTCCGAACAGTAGGTCTCCAGAAAAAGGAAGATTGCACAATCTTAAATTGGATGCTGTATCCCTGGACCAGGTTTTGAGCCAAATAGCCCTTCTGGCTTCCACTGACAGAGCCCCTGCTCTTGCAGAGAGCTTAACAAATTCAGTGGATGCATCTGCGATGTATCCAACCACTCTGAAAAGGACTGGCAGCTGGAAATTCATGTTTCTTGCGACACATGTTGTGGCTAAGGTGAGCTTCAAGCTAGCTATGCTAGTCTCCCATGCTCTTTAAAGGACTATGTAGTCCCTTCTGTCCATGCAGTCCATTAAATGTCTCATGTCCTCAAACGTAGGCACTGACTTCTTAGATACCTTGGAAAGGGGAGCATCCAGTTGTGGATTTTATTCCAAACCGCCTGTGGATCGTCAACAAACGTAAATCTCCTGGCAGTAAAGAATGGCTTCTTCTAAGGGTCTGGCCACTCCTTAAGCACCAAGTCGGACATCACCTGGGTAACTGGAAACACAACACCTTAGACTTCTTTTTCTGTAGGGCCTGATACATCAGGTCATGCTTTGAGGGTTGACCCTTCTCTTCTTCATTTTCTAAGGTCTCATAAATTGCCCCTAAGAGGTCCTCCACATCATCCATTGGCAATTTAAACTTAGGGCCTTTCCCCTTCCTTCTTTTCTTCTTGCTTTGAGTCTGAACTGGGAGTGTCAGCATCACTACTTGTCAGGCTCACTGCCCTGTCTACCAAGACATCCTGAGACCCCAAAGCTGGTGACCTAGGCGAGTCTATGGGTGAAGGCTGCCTCACTGTAGCAGCAGGAGCTTTAATGTCTGTAATCCGCTTTCTAAACTCCTTAAAAGGTAGAGGACATTTCTTTCTTTGCCAAACCAAAAGTTTGCGTAAAGGGTATCTGCCTCCTTTTTCAATAATCGGGCGACACATTGTTTACAAAGCAGCTCTGTGTACTGCGAAGGCATCTTCGTTTCACACTTCGCACAATGCATTTTGGAAATGGGTTGGGTTCTTTAAGCAGCTTAGCATGCCAAAAACATAAAGCACAGGAGCCCTGGTGGTCAATATACAACTACCCCACCATTAGAATGCCCACACAATGAGACAAGCGCTGCACTCTTGCTGTGTCCCAGAACGCTAGGTACCACTACCTAGACACTGTGGTTACCTCCAGGTGCCTAAATGTGTCCTGCTGGTGCTTGCGTCTCCCACAGCCTGTGTGGACGGCAGCTCAAAAGCATCCCCCTGCATCCTGTGGGCTGTGTGGCGCTCATCCTAGTGTCTGCAGTGGTGTCCACATGTAGTACCAGCTGGCCTCCTCTTCCTCCCTGCGCCTTTAAGGGGTCGGGACCACTTCCCCTGGATGCATGGCGATGACATCATCCTGCCCTGGAAATGACATGTCAGCATCTCTGGGTAAAGCGCCGTCTGGACGCCCCCTGCCGGAGCCACCCAGAAAAAGACACACCGCTGCCTTTCCATCCACACCTGGGCTCAGAGGAAGGGGGAGCAGATCACCACCCGCCCACGGCAAAGGAAAGAGCGCCACGGCCACAACCGACCATCACCACCAAAACGGTCCCTGGAAGGGGAACCCTTGAGAGATAGAGCCCTCTGACGTTCCCTCAGGCAACATGTGCTCTCTGGATGGAGGAAACACAATAACTGGACATGGGCCTGAGGGACCGCCTTAAAAGATGCAAGTGGCAATGTGTTTCCTGATTGGAGGGAGGAGCTCCATCTCTCAAAGACTGGCCTGGAAGACAACTGGGGAAACCATATTTACTTCTAAAGAGTCCTAACTCAAAAGTTGTATATCTGCAGTGTGAGAAATAAAGGCACTGTTGCTTCTGACTTCTCATCTCAGGAGATCTGGAGATGTCACTACCACGCTGCTCAAGGTTCTCCTTGGGGGCCCTGACATGGGGAAGTTAAACCCTGCCTCTGCCAAGGTGGCTGTCTCCACACAGTGCTCATCAAACAATAGCAAGTCAGTAGGTAAAAGATCAGCTGCAGGGATACCACAGGAAATACTGGCAACTAGTCCTTTAGCTTCTGCTTTGCCCTCTGCCTTTTCTGAGCCACAATTTCAACAGTTCAGTACAAACGATAAGTTGGAGAGATGCAATGCTGTTCTCATAGAACAGTTTTGAAGCTCAATGCAACCAACCATATCTCGATTAGTCCTCAAAATTAAAGTAGTGTAGGGACTATTAACTTTGCAAAGGCAACGTGGAAAACTGTACATTTCTCTGACATTAGAAATGTATACACACCAGGAAACTATTGCACAAAGTAAAACATTTGTGTAAATCCTAAATAAAATAACTGCAGAATGCCCTTTTCTAACAGTTAATAATCTACCGCAAGTAGAAGGTATCAAAAACCAGCACTTTAACCAGGGTAAAGGGAAACATGGTATAACATTAAAAGCAAAGAAGTGTAGTAACAAATCAAATTTAAGGTTACATCAGTTTTGTGCAGTGATGAAAATTCAGGAGTGGTTGCTATAGGCCAACCTTTTTAAAACAGAAAATAGGTTCCTATATAACCTGCATAGCATAGAGGGCAAGAATAAGCAACAAGAACTGACTAAACCAGCTAAATGGCAAACTTACGTCAAGTTAGCGGTATCTTGCAAGTTCCTCCTCTCTCTCTGATTGAGGCGTTTATAGAAAAAAGAACTAAAAATGTGGATCCTGTCTGCATGTTCTCTTAGTTTCTCAAGCACTAAATACCTGTTTAAAAAAAAACAAAAAAACTAATGATCTTTGAAGGTTTACTGCATACATTTGCTGAATATACAGATGTTTAAAACTACATAACCTAACAAAACCCTTACCTGTGACTCATCATGATGTGTATGATTTAGTTCCCCTTTAACCTCTTTACACACACACACAATCTGGATCCCAAACTATTCCCAGTATGGTGCCCTGTGCTGGGGATAGGTTTACAAATGTCCCCTTTGAAAACCAGAAGCCAACACTTTGTATGGGTTCTAAAATCCAGCTATCACTGACCGCTTGAGTCCCCAGAGCTATCAGTGGGAATCAGAATGGCATCTACTGTTCACAAGTTTGAAAAGTATTTATATGGTCCACATAAAATGTTATATTATTTATTGTGTTTTATTGGATCCTTGAGCACCATCAAAACTCCAATTGCCTTAAATTCTTGTATAGACTCAAGGATAGGAGTTGGTGCTTGTATATGCATGCACTCTCCTTTCTTTTTTGGTAATCATATAAATATTTCACAGTCATACTTGACATTCTTATGCTCAGAAGAGTGGAGGCACCCATCACATAACTGTACTGTATATGCCAAGTTCTAGAACACCACCAGGGTTTAGAAGGGGGAACGGTGGTACAGCCCTCCTCAGATTGGTGGAATCCAGCACTGTACATGTCAAGAATGATTTGAATTTAGTCATTCCACTGGAAGAAAGTAATCCACAACTGGCATAGGTTTCAAAAACTGCAAATTTGTCCAATGGCAAATACAACAAATTCAATCTAAGAACAGTTTTATGCCAAAGAAGTCTAACAGAACCTTACAATTTCATTGCGCATCTACAATCAAACATTGTACCAATTCAACCTGCATGACATGTAAACAAAAACAAAAAAAAACTGAACTGCTGACCAAAAAGAATAGAACAAGATTACAGGTAGACCAGTGGGCTTTCTGGAACAATGTGCTAAAGATTGATCAAAGATTGAGTTTTTTTGTCACAGTAAAGCCCTGTACACACAGGTTGAATATCAAGCGGTATCGGCTGGTTCAATAGAAACTGGCCAACAATCGGCCCATGTGCACGGCAGTCAGTCTGGCTTCTGACAAAGGGGCATGACCAAAAAGGGTCTGCTGATCAGTGCTCTCAGCCAATGCCAATGGTATGACACTATACCCTGTCTGATGACCAATGTGTTCTGGAGTCCATCTGTCAGAACACAATAGCTCAGTGGAGAGATCACTGCACTAATATCGGATTTTAGTACAGGATCTCCTCCTGGGCTATTCAATTTTTTTTTCCCGTTCAGCCTGCTAGCTTGAATGAAGAAGAAAAAAAAACCCGGAGGGAGAACCGACCGAAGAAGTGCCATTGCACGAAAGGCAACTAGGAGGAACCAGACAGCACATGACACTACTGCCACCTGGAGCTAGAAGGAAGCCCAGGCGGCCATTTTAATGAAGGTATAGTGTTATTACTTTTTGCTCATCACTATACCCTGTCTGTTTCATGCGGTACTACAAATAAAAGTCATTTAATTTACTACACTATGGGCACTTCTTTTGTGGCTCCTATTTGGAGCTATTAAGCCCACAGGCAGCAGTGAGTACCCAGCATATCCGGAGGAATGAGAGATCCTTATCCAGGCTGATTACCCCACTAATCTTAAGGAGGACCTCTGGAACCAGTGGATTCTAACGCTTTCCTAACGGCTTGATGACTGCACCATGAGGAAAAGTTCACCAGATAGACCAGTATACCTTGATTATTACTTATGCGCATTATCTATGCGCTTCCGGTGAGTGCGCATTTTTCACTTTTGGCTGGAGTCACAAGTTCATCCGCTGTATTATCAGACTATATATCCCTTTATGGTCTTACATACATTTACAATATATGTGGACATATTGGCATATGTTTGGGTTTTATATGGATTTTTAGTGCTACACCTCTTTTATATATATTTATTACTGTAGAGTGATTGGTACCTCTTGGTGTTTTAGCAGCTATTTATAGGAGCGGTCACTACTCGTATTTTTTCCAATACTGCCGTTCACGCCATGTAAGTGAGAGCCACGCTATAAGTCATGGCCATTGGTTTTATGTTGTGGACAGTGGTATTTAGCAAGCTCATCAGCCAGGGTTTCCTGCTTACCCCTAAATCTGATTTTTTAGTCAGAGGTTGGACAGTTGCTGCAGGAAGTCTACCAACTGTGGGCATTGTGTAGAAACTATGTGATACAGGATAAAGGCAGGATAGCTGATGTGCGCAGTGGGGCTCTGGAGATGAGCGTCTAGCTATTGCTGCAGTCAGACCACACCTCTGGATAAAAGTTATTTAGACTTGCAAATTAGTTCTAGCATTATTGCCAAGTTAACCAACTCATGCTGATGTTGCTAACTTTAGAAAAAACTGTTGCACCCACTGAAAAACACACTACAGCTCTATTCATATATGTAGAGTGGCAAGTACAAAAAAACAAAAACAAACTGTACATAGATGTCAATTTAACTTCCGACAGAGGCTGTCTTGAAAGGTTTGTGCTTTATATTGGTCTAAGCCACTTTACGAAACATGGAAAAGAGCTTGAAAAATACATACAGTAATATATATATATATATATATATATATATATATATATATATATATACACACACACACATACATACATACACACACCTGTACATCTGTATTAACATTGAAGACTGTATAGCTTTTTAAATCCACTAGATGGCAGATTTGAGCACATTTAATCTTTAACATGACACTAAACTGGTTTAAAAAAAAAAAAAATGAAAAATTCCAATCTTGTGTCATTAAAATCGGTATTAAACCCAAAATGCAAACATATTGCAGCTTACCAATTTGTAGATAAAGTGACTGCTATACTTTTCTTTAGGCTTTTTTCCTTTATTTTCACATGGTGATCCTGCCAGTTAGTCTGTTTTTCAACAGATCAAGCTGTTCTGCAGATGGAGCAGTTAGAGGGTTGAGATAAACAAACCATTTATCACTGAAAAGGGTGTATACAATGATCAGCTTTAAACTGCTGATGTAACTGCTTAACTGCCGTTTTGCATCTAAATCGCATGCACACTCCACTCCTCACAAGACCTCCTTCTCTCTAGTTCCCTGGTCTCCTCCTCCCATGCCCGCCTCCAGGACTTCTCCAGGGTGTCACCCATCCTCTGGAACTCCCTGCCCCAACCCATCAGATTATCACCTACTCTCCTCTCCTTTAGGCGCACCCTGAAAACCCACCTCTTCAGGGAAGCCTACCCCACCCCCTGCTAACTTGCCAACCTCCTCCACTCTTCCTACCACCCCATCCCCCAACAGCTATCTCCTCCTGTGCCACCATCCCCTCCCTCCTAGATTGTAAGCTTGAAAGAGCAGGGCCCTCGATCCCCTCATGTTTTGCATTGTATTGTTATTGTTCTGTCACATGTTCTGTCCCCCTTTGTAATGTACAGCGCTGAGTGAACTATTGGCGCTTTATAAATACTGTAAAAAATAAATAATAATAATAAATCTGCTAGTATATCGAACACCCCCTCCCCCCAATTTAAAAAAATGCTACTGTCCAAAAGGTTTCTCTATTGCTCCTTCATCCATAGTGTAGGCAACTGGCCAGATGACCAGGTGAAAAGTAGAGAGAAAAAAAGCCCAAAAAAAGGTGAACAGCCACCACATTCACTATGAAGCTATCACATCCAATGATTGGTAAACTGCAATATAACACCTTCTTGCTCTTTACCCAGATGGACTAGGAATTATGGACCATGGACTTTGGGACGTAGTGTGCATACAGCAGTGCGCATGACTTCAATTAACATGTACTGCTCAATCCAAACAAGAACTACAGTAAAACAATTTAATGAAAAATAGATTATAGGGCATTAGGTAGTGTATGTTTATGGATGGCTTTGCAGGAATAGGGATATTGTTTAGTGTCATTTTAACTAAAAAAAAACAAAAACAAAAAAAAACTGGCTGCAGCTTGCTTGAAGGATAAACATGCACTAAAATGGGAGAAAATTGCAGACAAAATAAAAAAATCAAATAACCATCCACATTCATTCTATTACATTTGAATTAATCTTGGTGAACTATCACGTCTATAAAATGTAAATTATAAACATTTTTGGAGACCGACAATCTTCATTTCGTTAAAAAATATAATAAATCCCCCCAAAATCATTGATGTGTGTGTGGACTACATTTTTTCCAACTCAATGATTCAGTATGTGAATTTTTTTTCTGACATGTTGGCGTTATATCTTTTACTTGGATGTTATAAGTTGCACTGAGTAAATACAGCTGGATAAAACAAAAACGGTTGTCTTCATTAAAGGTTGCAAAGCAGCAAAATGTGATTTTAAAGGGGGGTAATTCTTTTCTATACCCACTATATGTGCCCTTTTAAATATAAAAAAACAACTTAATGTAATAAAAGCAAATAGGTAACTTACTTTAGGTAGAAATCAATAATTACATCATTCAAAAATTCTCCTTCATTTAAGCAATGGAGATCCTCATTTGTAACGGAGATTCCACCTTTTGCAGGAGGCGGTGGATATACAATCAATCTAAAAAGGAACAAAAAGTAGAATTTGTACACTGTAGTATGAAAGTTCACATTGGAACTTTTACCAGCTGATAAGGGACATGCGAGTAAAGGAGTACTATAGAATATACCACTGTCTTCGACTCTAGATCTCAAGGCCTACTTAATGGATCATAATTTCCAGCTCTCTGGTACCTGCACAATTTAAGTAGAAGCAAACTAAGCATCAGTCTTGTGAGATGATCTGAAACACTAAATGTAACTAGTATTCACTTACTAGGCTTGATACCCCTGCCAAAACATTGTCAGTTTTGAATAGCATAGGGAAAGGATAGAACCTCATAATAAAAAAGGTACACCTCAACACATTGCTTTACTATAAAAAACATTTATTGACTGATTCTTCTAGAGAGTTTCTTTTACTACATAATACAGTTATGTCTCCTACCAAGTATAGTCAGCACGCCTTGCCAACTACAACCAGAAGCTTGCCATGTTATTTCACTAAAACTATACACATATTCTATAGAATTCTATAAGCTAACTGCTATGAATCACCAATTCTTACTGATAAATAAGTACATACTTTTCAATGGGACCAACGAAGACACTGTGTGTGTCGCCAGCCTCATCTTCATCATCAAAAAAACTGCAATTGTGTTGTAGAATTGCGCAACTTCATTCGTGTTTCTGAGGTCACCTGTGTTTCAAGTAGACAAATGTCAGTGTTCTGCTAAAAATTGCTTTTAGTAAGTTTTTCATTTTAATAAACTGACTATACACAAGGTAGTAATGGACAGCTTGAATATATCTTCAGGAAAAAGCACAAAAAAAACATTTACATTTCGTGCTACGTGGTCCTTTGATGATGAATGGTGAGAAGGAGTTTCTTCCAAGTGTTTTGTAAAGGCCTACAAGTCTTCGGTTAGCTTCATCAAATCCAATTTTTGAGAAAAAATTTGGGACTGAATTTTTTACTCCAATTTCATTTAAAATTTTTTCAAAACAAGCATTTTCTTCCACGCTTAGGGGCTTTTCAAGGATTAAGACAATAAATTGCTCTTCCACATCTAGGAAAGAAAAAAAGAAAAACTGGTTTGAAAAACACTTGGTCAGAAAAGTTCCTTGATTTTACGTATGGTACCTATTCTGTAAATCAGCTGTCCAGAAAGACAAATAAAATTAAATATAATATACACTGCTGTCATCCACAAATATCATATATTAGCACTATAAATATTTTTAAACCATTGTACATAAACACATCAAATTTAAAACACAACCCAAACAGCTAGATAAGCAGAGAAAATAAGAGGAATTTTGACTTACCAGGAAATTCCATATTTTGGAGTACAGTGCAAGACACAGGCAACATATTCATACAACAGGTGTTATAGGTTTGCACCTTTCCGTGTTTCAACACTGGCAAGCTTTTGAAGACATGACACCCCCCCCCCCCTTCCCAATTGCATCTCCTATGATTCTTATCCCCTCTTGGGTTTTGTACCAAGCGATGAACAGCAACAAGGAGATTTTAGTGAGGGTGAACTATGGCCTGTACAGCAATGGACTCAAATACTGGATACAGACTGTTTGTTTCAGCAGAGTGGCTGTGCATATGTGTTGCATGCAGTGATAGAAGAGCTTCTTAGTCTAGTGAGGAGGTGGAAAGGTCTCTCCTGCAAGCATGACAATGCATTTCAGAGCAGTTTCACTTGTCAAGCCAATACAGGACACAGGGGGAGCTCCTATATTTACTAGAGGTATTCACGTACTATAAAACACAACTTTTATGAAAAGACGACAAAAAAAAAACAAAAAAAAAAAAACCTGACAAAGCATGTAGGGGGACTCCGGACTCACACCTACAATTAACCTATAGAGAGTATTTCTAAAATTCAGAAAAAAAAAAAAAAAAAAAAAAAATCTTACTCTGTAGGACATAATCGTCCAATTTTAGCCGTTCTTTTTCAAATTAGCAGAATTGGCTTTTGAGGATGACATTGACCCATTTTCTGAGGTGTCAGCTGTTTTGTAGATACAAGTTCCTACTTATGGGGTTAAAGTGACTTCTGGTGCAAACCTTATTGTCTTCATGGAAATATTCCAGTTCCAGGAATACCAGTGTGTTCATTTACAACATGGGTAAAAACAAAGACCCAACTCGTTATTACTGAAAAGGTTCTACTGACTCAGGTTCACCATGCTAAATATTAAAATACCATTGATAATACGGGCAAAAAAAATGATCTGCTGGGAGAAGGGGTTATGTCTCCATATATAGTGTTCCTCTCAATATCCCATGGTGAGATTGACATAGCTGGGCACATAAATAGTGCCCATAGCTGTACCCTGTATAAGTAATTGTCAAGAAATTTAAAGTAGTTATGTTGTAAAGTGAACCTAATACTGTAAAGTATGAATTTTGAAATCTTGTAACCTACAGAATCTACAGAGTGAATCCACAGGTCTGGCATGTCTGTGGTCCAGAGAGATGCAAACTACAAAATAAGTCCCTCTTAGGAGTGAGGGTGCCCCTTCATTGTGTAGAGTGTTTTGGGGAGGGTTTGGTGGCCTTAGTGGCCCAAGCCTTGTGCTGAAAGAAACAACTGAACTTTGAAGTTGGATTTTGGGAAGAGCATGGAGGTCCTTGGTATTTAAGGAAGCTAGGAGCAACTGAAGGGGAGGGTTTGTTAACATTCTCTGAGGAAGCAAAACTTTTCCAACTGTGACTTCTCTAAAGTGGTAGTAAAGTCATTTTTTTCACTTGTACCTTCAGGTAAGCCTATAACAAGGCTCACCTGCAGGTACTGTAAATAACTCCTAAAAATGCACCGTTTAGGAGATATTTACTAGTAAAGGAGTACGTGCGCATGCGCTCTGATGGAACGGCATGCCCGTTCAGTAAAAAGTGATGCATGTGTGGGAGTGATGTCATCACAGCTTGGTCATTTAAGCCTGCAAACCCAGAAGGACCGGGTGAAGATGATGGAAGCCCTGTCAGTGGTGACAGCGCGCAGCTGGAGGGCTTCATTTTAAGGCAAGTTTTACATAATGTGCTAGTATGTGATGCATACTAGCACATTATGCCATTGTCCTTGCAGGGTTTTTTTTTTTTTTTTTTTTTTTTTAAAAGGTCGTGATTTATTACCGCTTTAACCACTTGCCATCAAAGCCAATTTTGAGGTTTCTCATATACATGGTAAAATTGGCTTTTTTTTTGCTAGAAAATTACTTAGAACCATTAGACATTATAAATTTTCTGAAACCAGTAGCACTGGAGAATAAAATGTCGAGTCTCCTGTGAGAAGAGACAAGAGTTGAAGAGCAGCTGCAGACAGGCACAGCGCTGTATCGAGATTGGGCTCAGCTGGGGGGAGAAGCTTTTGAAAGTTTTTTTTACCTTAATGCAGACAATCTTTTGCCTTTACAATTTTTTTGTAAAACATAAAAGATGTTAAGATATTTTTGTGCTGAGTAAATAGATATCAAACCAGTCAAGATTTTAAATTTTGCACATATCTGAAATGGTGAACAACTACGGTACCTTCAAACCTCTGTAGGCAACGATTTAAAGCCTTTACAGGTTACCAGTTTAGTGTTAAATGTGAGCTCTGGTGCTGGAATTATTGCTCTCACTCTGACATTTGCAGGGATTCCACACAAGTGTGGCGCAATCACTATATACAGACGGGTGCTTTATAAAAAATACATTTCAATTTAAAAAAAAAAAATGTATTTTAAATTATTTATATTTTCTACAATATTTTTTTTTTCAATTCAATTTTATTGCTATTACAAGAGATGAATAACATCCCTTGTGATAACTTTGGCAGTGACAGGTACTCTTTATTGAGAGATCTAAGTTCTAGTAAACCCCTGATCCCTCCTCTGCCCTCCAAGGCAGTCAATCAAACAGATTGGTATGATTAGGTACTTACTGACCAGCACCAGCCAAGGAAGCTAAGCCAGAGGTGAAAAACATCTTTGTTACTTATGGCTTCATTCACCACAGTGTGCAGTTGACCTGACCAGTTGCAGCCCGGGTGGGAGCGTCAAGGAACAGCGGAGGTAGGGCAGGCTTTCAAGCCCCAAAAAAGTGATTGGGCGGCTGTAAAGCCAACCAGACCACTTTTGCCTGAAAGCCAATTACCAGCTGAAACAATTTGATACCAGGACCATGGCTACAACCATGCTACCGGTAAAACAACATCTCGATATTTATATACATACGCTGGACATGAAGTGGTTAATTAGTCATGTACCTCGTTTGAGGCGTCTCTTACAGGTAGGTTCTGCTGGAAGAGATGCACTCTTTGTGCACAAAGGGGTGTGGCAAGATGAAGGAGAGTCCACCTGTACAATGCCAAGGCTTTTGCAGACAGAGGCAATGAGCTTTTAGCAAGCATGTTGTGGGAAGCTGCCTCGGCAAAATATCGAGAGTGTGAGAGAGATCTTCTGCAGCTTCCTCCAATGCTGCTAGTACATCCTCTTCATTTCGCTCTGATTCAGCATCCCCGAGAACCAGCATATCGGAGTCTGACTCTGAAACCGGAGTAGGAGAAGAAAAGGTGGGCATTTTTGAGCTTTGGACAAAAGATCGCTGTATTAGGGCTGTAATTTGTCCAAGAAATTGACATAGATGTAGAAAATTCTACTTTTTGTCAAACAGACTGCTTGTTGTGTGCCAGAAATAGAGATAGAATTGGATAATGAAGCCGGTGTTAAGACAGGTTCTTGCTATGGTGAACGGGATGCATAGTCACTGAAGCCAAATGTTGTGCAGGTCTTTGACAGAGCGAATGTTCTACTTTTTACAGTTGGAACCTTTTTGCCTGGTCTCCACCATAGCTACAAGTGAGGGTATTCCCCCTTGGGTTATGCATGGAGTAGAGTGTAGGAGATATGGAAAGTGTGTCTAGTAGGAATACTCAGGAACCCAAGTGCAGACTGACTGTCCTGCAATGAATCCACGTGGCGAAAGGGCACGAGGAAGTGCCAGAGTACCTTATAAGGGCTCTAGGTGGAAGAGGCGTTAAGTGTGGTGTGATTTAACACTTGCTCATCCACCTAAGTGGAATAATTTTTTGTGCCAAGTTCGAAACGTTTACACCATCAAGTAAATACATTGCAAACATAGCCACATATTACACAGTAATTGTCAATTATACAGAGCAACCCTGTCTTATCAGTTCAAAATGCAGGGCTGTATATAAAAGGTCCAGGTTTCACACATTATGATGGGCATACCCCCAAAAGTGTCTTCAAGGACTGGGTTCCATTGTGATAAACCATGGCCTTCTCCTGTATAGCACCCTCCAGCCAACTCAACAGTGTCCGAAGCAACACTGCTGTGGTTGTGCCAATCCAAATACACGATGAGGGCTAACTGAAAAATTCTTTAGAAAAATGACAGAAGAAAATAATAAAGTAGTGAAGCTAGTTTCTCCTTGAAGAAGAGTCCCATCGCCATCTCACATACAGGAGTAGAGTTACATCCTCAAAAAGCTTGCTAGTGTCCAATCACCTGAAGGTACGAAGCTGTAAATTACTGTGTATGAATAAGTTGCCCGTGTGCTGTACTGTTCGGTATGATTAGGATACACATAATGGAAGGAACACTAATTATTTTCTACCAGTTTTGTGAGGAGGGTTTGTAAGGGAGCTACTTGCATACTTCAGACCTAAAATGGTTGCACATGGTATCGACTTGGGTACAATCAGTCTGCCTTTAGATGTATTGAATCTCGGCCGATCCCTGCTGAACTGGTTGAGATTCAAACCATTTATGACCAGCTTAAAGTATAAGTTCACCTTTGGAACATGTCACATGTTCCACCTGTTTTTATGGTGGAACATGTAACATGTTCCCATAGCTGCGCCCACCATCCCAATCCCCCCCCCCCCCCCGACAGACAGTACGGGAAAACGTCTCCCCGTACTACCTGTCAGATTTGAAAACAGCAAGACCGTGCGGCGCTCCTTTCACACGGCTGCATCACTCATTCAGAGTTCTGTGAATGAGTACCTACAAATCCCAACAGCCTTAGCGGCTGTTGGCTTGCAGTTTTCAATGAACTACCATGGCACTGTGCAGCGCCGTGGTAGTTCATTGAAGCTTCCGGTCAGTATATCTGCTTGCTTGTACATCCTGTACGGTAAGCAGATATTCTGACAGGTCTGCAGGAGACTTGCATGGCATGAACGATCTACTGATTGCTGGTGCAATGCTTTCCAGGCTCCTTTGGACAAAAATAATAAATGTACATTTTTTTTTACTTGCAAAAAAAAACGTGCATTTATTATTTTTGTCCAAAAGGTGAACTTATCCTTTAAGCTTTGAAAAGACTAAAGCCAAGGCAGGGGTTACCAAATCTCAGTTAGATGTCAACTGAATGCAAACATAACATCTGATGCATATCAGACAACTTTTACAGGATACCCAAACATATTTTACACATAAGTTTATGTCTGGACTGCTTTTTAAGAAATTAAAAAAAAAATGTTCTTTCACACTGCCCAAAGAACAGATTAACTCCCAAACATCTGCACATACAATGTAAGTTTCCAAGAGTTAAAGTGTATGTTCACGTCAAAACATTCTTAGTTTTGGATGGATTGTGGCCGGATTAGAACCCCTGTCCAATATATATTGCTATACTCTGCTCCATTAGAGAGATTTACCCTCACTTATCTGGCTGACATTCCACCAGATAGGAAGTAGATACGACTCTCCAACAGCAACATGGACAAATTAAATGATTTTCTTTAGTAGAGTAGGGCAAGACTAGAATTCCTGTCTGATTTTCTTTTGTCTGTGTCCCTGCTGCAGATTTCCTGTATGGTGATACCATGGTCAGCAGGACAGAAGTGAGAGAAAATTTCTCTAATGAAGCCCAGAAAACAGAAAAAATTGATAGAGGTTCTACCTTTTCCCCACTATTCAAACTTTTTGACCCAACATACTCTAGGTCGGGGGTCAGCAACCTGTAGATCGCAATCTACCAGTAGACCACAGCCAGGTGACAGGTAGATCATTGTCTGGGCTTGCTGACCCGCCATCCCAGAGCATCAGAGTGCAATGTAGAGGAACTATGGCACTTGAAAATTTGGAGCAGAAGTAGAGAGCAAGAACTGCATAAGCTGATGCCTCCTCTGTAGGGCTGACTCCTGTCTTATGTAGAGTGATACCAACTGCACTCCACCTCTTATTCCTGCTAGCGGTCTCCAGAGTGGTGCCAGCAGCTGGAAAGAAGAGATCTTCAGGGCAGTGTGAAGCAATACACTGAGGATAATACTATAGGGCTGCTTTCACACTGATGTGCTGCGGTTTACTCAGAAAGTGCACCACACCTGCAGGACATAATAAAAGTCTATAGCAAAGCACAGCTAACCCAGGAAATTTGCAGATGCACTGCGCTGCACCACACACCGCAGGTAAACTGCAGCACGTCAGTGTGAAATCAGCCTTATAGGGGGCTTAGAACAGAAAGGGTTCATTTGCAGTTTGGAGGGTGGCAAAACCCCATAGTTAAAACGGGTTTTTACCACCTCGCCCTCTCCGCACTCCCTTCAGCAGAAGTGGCCAGAGGTGTACACAAGTCTCCACCACAGCAGGACTTATACCCCGTGTCATGGTTGGTGGGTGTAACACCTGCCATGCATGACCCCCCTTCATGTGAATGAGGCTGCTCTGCAACCTTGTGCAGTACAGCAAACAAGGGGTTAAAGGAGGCACCGTTTTGTGCTCTCACCACCTGTTTTAACCCCTTGTACCCCAGAGAATGCAGTTGCGGGACGCTTGAGGAGTCGTCCCATTTACTTGAATGGGTCACTATTAGCAGGCGGTAGCACCCACCAAAAGCAACAGGGATTTCAATTTCTGCTGTGGCTCATATAGACCTTTGGCTGCTGCCTCAGCAGTTAAAAGGGGTAAGAATTGAGGGTGGTAAAACTGCGATTCAATCACAGGGTTTTACACCCCCCAACTTTATGCGTGAACAAGCCTTAAGGTTGCTTCTGCTTAATGCAACTGAGGGCTCGTTCACAAGTGCAGCAGGCATAGCTGTTCCACTGAAAAGCGATCTAAGTGTGTTTGATAGGTGGTGAGTAGGCGATATGTTGGAGATGATTTAAACCCATGATTTCCGTGCAATGCATGCGATTGCAACATGGTAGTAAAAAAATTAAAGGTTTAAATCTGGTATGAGGAAAAAACACTGGGCGACACTCTGCTCGGTGATCTTTGACTACTCCCATATTTGTCCAGGTAGACCTTCACCTCTGTAAGGTTGTCTACCCCAGCTCTAGGTGCAAAATACAAGTTACACTTACCCATCTGACATCTTTCACTGCCTTTCTGCTGCTTGCACCCTGCTCTGCATGTTTGTGTTATTAATTTAGACCGCTTCATGAAAGTCTATTTCTCAACCACCCAGAACAGTGAGAAAGAGCTAGTGAGAGAACAGTGGAGAGAAGTGAACCAGAGAACAAAATCCGAGTTCTGTGAAGCTTGCACCAGAAACTTACCTCCCAGAGACCTTTTCTGCAGTTATTTCAAAATACCAATAACTTGTTGTACATGCTTATAAGGACTAATTCCAATGTTGCCCTTTGCTTTTGAATACAGAATTATTAACCAATAATATAATCCAAATTTTTGAACGAAAAAAAAAAAAAAGGAAAGTTTAAATTTTTTTTATACATAAAAACGAAAAGAGTACATTTCATTTGGACACATTATAATTATTTATGTATAATAGTGTGTTACCATTACCTGCCTGGCAGCTGCTTCTGCTAAACATCTCTGCTGTGCCTCTTTCATAGCTATTAGACATTGTCCTCAGCAGCTGTCTTCCAGCACTGTCAGAATTAACAGCAGCAGCTACTCTATGGCAGACAGCAGTATACATTTTGACTGCCCATTCAAAGTTAGCTAGCTGTCCTTTCCTACCCTAATTCAAGACTTTATGTAAAGACTTACTTGAAGAATTGGAATCATACCATCCTAAACCATTCTGTTTGCTCATCTTAAACTGTGACCGAAGCTTCTGGCAGTGGGAGGCTGTACTCTGGAAAAACACCACTGAAAGTTTTCGTGCACAGCACCATTCACACTTTATTAGCTCTGATGTATTCAACTCCAGATGCTCATCTTCAGAATCTTCAGGCACTGCTAAGTAAAAACTATGCATTATTTTCATTACATTATCAAAGTTAAGAGCTTAATAGGACAACCTAAATTGCACAATTACGCACATCAAATAGGAACAAAATATGGAGAATGCATCTGATATAAATGTCAAAGGGTAACACGGATTGCCATAAATTTACACCCGTCTGCTCTAAAAGATATTAGAGATCACTTCAACTCTTTGTATCTCAGAAATGTTCCTAAAAGTAGTATTGATCCAAAACCCAAACAATGGAATATATTGCAGTTTACTATTCATTAGATGCGATGGCTGAATTAGTTTTTTTTTTTTATGCTTTCTTCCCTTTATTTCCATCTGGTGATCCAGCCAGTAGGTTTGTTGTCTTTCAAAAGAGCAAACTCTCATGCAGTTTGAGGGATGAGACAAACCATTTACCACTGACACTCCTTTATTCTAAAGACAACTGTTTGTTGTAAGAACTGGTAAGCTAAAATAAAGTAAATGTTTGTTTTTGGGTTTAATACTGCTTTAAGCAATGCAGTTCAGTGTGTCAACAGAAGAAAAAAAAAAAAAGAAAAATAGTAAAAAGTAAACAGTGAGTCGTAACAATGCATTGCACTCCCCCTATGCAATGTACACCAGCGTGCATGTCTTTTAGTGTACTGGATGGGGTAAATGAGTCAACACTGAAGCAGATCTTGCCGCTTCTGTGTATACTAGCCACTTACCCACCAGCGTATAGCAGATATACTGCTACACGTGCGCAAAATCACATATATATATATATATACGTGATTTTGCATTTCTGGGTAGGGGGTGCGCGCTAACTGAGCGAGTACCCTACCCACGCAGCCATTCGCGGCTGTGGATGTCAATCACTGGGTCCCGGCCGCTGATTACCCGCTGGCGCCGGTTCTTACCGACGAGGAGGAAGACTATTTTGTTTACAGTCTTCCTCCCTGTCAGCTCGGGTACACTGCTCAGGATGGCTGTGCACCCCCCCCCCCCCCACAGTAAAACACTCCCTACACACACAGTTAACCCTTTGATCTCCCCTCACATTAACCCTTTCCTGCCCCAGTGTCATTGCTGTTTTTTTTTTAGCACTAATCACTGTATTAGTGTCACTGGGGATGTCAGTGACACAAAGTTGGTTCCCCCCAGTGTCAGAATGCCTGCTGCAGTCCCACTAAAAGTTGCTTATTGCCGCCATTACTAGTAGGAAAAAAAAATCCCAGTATCTATACTGCCATTTGTAAATGCTATAACTTTCACGTAAACCAATTAATTTACACGTATTGGGAATTTTTTTTTTTAGCAAAAACAAAGCAGAATAAATTTTGGCTTAAATTTATGATGAAATTTGATTTTTAAAACTTTTTTATTGGGCATGTTTAATAACAAAAAGTCCAAAATTATTTTTTTTTTTCTCAGAATTGTCAGTCTTTTTTGTTTATAGTGCATAAAATAAAAACCGCACAGGCGGTCAAACACCGCAGAAAGCTCAATTCATGGGGAAAAAAAGGACGTAAATTTCATCTGGGTGCGGCGTTGCATGACCGCGCAATTGTCAGTTAAAGTAACGCTGCGACAGTAATGAAGAAAATGGCCTGGTCAGGAAGGGGGGGGGGGGGGGGGGGGGGGGGGTTAATCCTCTGGAGGGAAAGTGGCAGAAAAGCATCTGCAGTATCATAAGGGCTCCTTCACACCATGTGTAGAGAACTGGGGGTTTTGTGTACCTGTAAATTTCTACAAGGGAACATAGAAAAACATTGTTTGCTATGTGGCCCATTCAAACCATAACACTAGTGTTACAAGTGGTGCTGAAAAATGCAGACATGCTGCATTTTTTGAGCAGTGCACTGGATGGCACCATATGTCACCACACCACAGAGCACTGCACAGGTGCGTGGAGCCACTTTGTACACTTTCAATAAAGCTAAAAGAAAAACAAAAACACACATTAACCACTTGCCATCCTAAGGATTTAATGACCAGGCCTTTTTTTGCTATTCGGCGCTGCACTATTTCAACTGATAATTGCATGGTCATGCAATGCTGTACCCAAACTAAATTTACGTCCTTTTTTCCACAAAAATTGAGCTTTCTTTTGGTGATATTTGATCACCTGTGCGCTTTTTATTTTTTGTGTTATAAACAAAAAAAAAAAAAAGGCGAAAATTTTGAAGAAAAACTATTTTTTTTACTTTCGGCTATAAAAAATATGAGTAAACTCAAAGTTAGTCATAAATTTTGGCCAAAATGTATTCTGCTACATGTTTTTGGTAAAAAAAAATCCCAATAAGTGTATATTGATTGCTTTGTGTGAAAGTTGTAGCATCTACAAACTATGGTATAGATACTGGAATTTACACAGCTTTTACTTTCTGTGACTGCCTATCACATTTCTTGAGGTGCTAAAATACCAGGATAGTACAAACATCCCCATATGACCCCTTTTCGGAAAGTAGACACCCCAAGCTATCTGCTGAGAGGCATATCGAGTCCATGGAAGATTTATTTTTTTTTTCTACAAGTTTTTGGAAAATTATATATATATATATATATATATATATATATATATATATATATATATATATATATATATATATATATATATATTTTTTTTTTTTTTTTTATATATTTTTTTTTTTACACAAAGTTGTCATTTAAATTATATATTACTCCCACAAGACATGGGTATATGTGTGGGGGGGAGTGCTATCCTGGCATTTCAGGGCCTCCGAAACTGTGATAGGTAGTCAGGAAGTGTAATGAGGAAATGAAGCCCTTTAAAAGCCTGAAGGTGCTTATTGGATTTTGGGGTCCTGTACTTGGCTAGACTGCCAAAACATCTCTCACGTGTGGTACCCCCATACTTCGGAGAAGTAGCAGAATATATTTTGGGGAGTAATTCCACAAATACCCATGGCATGTGTGAGCAATAAATCATTTAAGAGACAATTCTGTGTAAAATATTTTTTTTTTTTCTGTCATTTTCCAAAAACTTGTCTTAAAAACATAAATTATTCTATTGACTCAACATACCTCTCAGCAAATAGTTTGGGTTGTCTACTTTCCAAAAAAAAGGGTCTTGTTTGGGGGTGAATGCATTTTATGCCCAGCATTAGAACTGTATACCACACATCATTCACTCTTCTAACCACCTGAAGACCAAGCCTTCTCTGACACTTTTTGTTCATATGCAAAATAACCAGTATTTTTTGCTAGGAAATTACTTTGAACCCCCAAACATTATATATTTTTTAAAGCAGACACCCTAGTGAATAAAATGGTGGGTGCTGCAAATTTTTATGTCAGATAGTACTCGCACAATGATTTTTCAAATGCAAATTTTTGGAAAAACATACACTTTTTTTTTTTACTTTTAATGCACAAAAACACAATATATTGGCCAATTATTTGGTAACATATAAAAGATGATGTTATGCCAAGTAAATAGATACCAAACATAACAAGCTTTAAAACTGCGCATGCCCCGTGCAATGGCTACAAACTGCCTTTACAAGCTGCCAATATAGACTTAAAGAGGAGGTCTAGTGCTAGAATTACTGCCCTGGATCTGACGTTTGCGGAGATACCTCACATGCATGGTGCAACCACTGTTTACATATCGGCACAGGGTTAACTCTCACGCACGCAGCTGGGGGGGGGGGGGGGTTAGGGCGTAGGTGCTTTTTTTTTGGACTGCAGACAGTACAGGGGATGACCACAGACTGCGGACACAGTACAGGGGATGACCACAGACTGCGGACACAGTACAGGGGATGACCACAGACTGCGGACACAGTACAGGGGATGACCACAGACTGCGGACACAGTACAGGGGATGACCCAGAGACTGCGGACACAGTACAGGGGATGACACCAGGGATGACAGACAGGGGACGACCACAGACTGCGGGACACAGTACAGGGGATGACCAGAGACTGCGGACACAGTACAGGGGATGACCACAGACTGCGGACACAGTACAGGGGATGACCACAGACTGCGGACACAGTACAGGGGGACACAGACTGCGGACACAGACAGGGGATGACCACAGACTGCGGACACAGGACAGGAGATGGCCAGAGACTGCGGACACAGGGCAGGAGATGGACCAGAGACTGCGGACACAGGGCAGGAGATGGCCAGAGACTGCGGACACACAGGGGCAGGAGATGGCCAGAGACTGCGGACACAGGGCAGGAGATGGCCAGAGACTGCGGACACACAGGGCAGGAGATGGACACCAGAGACTGCGGACACAGGACAGGAGATGGCCAGAGACTGCGGACACAGGACAGGAGATGGCCAGAGACTGCGGACACAGGACAGGAGATGACCAGAGACGGACACAGGACAGCGGACAGAGACTGCGGACAGGACAGGAGATGACCAGAGACTGCGGACACAGGACAGGAGATGACCAGAGACTGCGGACACAGGACAGGAGATGACCAGAGACTGCGGACATAGTACAGGGGGACCAATGACTGCCAGACCAGACTGCAGACAGTAAAGGAGATTACCAGAGACTGCAGACCTTTGGGGAGGGAGGGGGAACGGGTACCTGAATTTGACAGGTACCCGCTCCCACTTCTGCGGAGTTGTCCTTCCTTCCTTCTTCCTGCGGCGGCTTCTGTGACAGCCGGGTGTCCACTGAGCATGCGCGAGAAGCGCTGCTCTTTGTGAATGGCCCGGAGCCTTCTGGGACCTGTCATGTGTCCCAGAAGACGCCGGACCATTCACAAAGCGCAGCGCTTCTCGCGCATGCGCAGTGGGCACCCGGCTGTCACAGAAGCTGCCGCGGGAAGACTGCAGCACTGGACAGAGGAACAGGTAAGGTCCTGCAAGAGAGAAGAGCTGAGCGGCCGGCCCGATATTCTGACATGGTGGCGGCAGAAATACCAGACCGCCCGCTTTACGTTCACTCCATAAGACGCACTGACATTTTCCCCCCTTTTTTGGGGGGAAAAAAGTGTGTCTTATGGAGCGAAAAATACGGTA